CTACCCGTCTAGTAGATCAATTAGCTAATAGACCTTTCCCACTACCAGTCCCACTAGCTGACTACCTCGGATAGAAATACGGTCTATTTATCAATCCTTCTCTTCCCCTTTTACTTTAGGCAGATCCTTTTTTCCCTTGAAATAACATAATTATTAAACCACTTCAGTCACTCTGTGGTTAATGATTCCCTCCTTTCGTTGGTTCCGCTCTCATGCTGAAACCTCTTGGTGGGTTTTAAACACACCACTCCATGGCTACAGTTTCATTCCTTACTACAATTAAGGTTAGGAACAGCTTGAAATACCATTATTAAAACCAGCATCTTGTCCGGGGTCTCCTAGTTCGCTTAGGGAACTGGAATTATCAACTTAGTATCTATTTCTCCAAAAATTCAGAGGTGATCTAACATTTTCACTTGTGTTTCATTCTAACAAGCTTAGTTCATTTTCCTTCTATTATGAAGATCTGTCCTAGGAATTTAAACAAACACATTCAATCTTTTCCTAAGAATTTTTTAACCCATTTACAATGACGTTAATATCAATGCTATTTAGACAAGAATAATTACTTGTCAGGAAACCAAACTGAGTTATTTTAGGCCTTACATATAGAATTCCAATTAGTTTAAATGATTTTAGTGGGGTCAAAACATTATATCTGAACTGTGTTTTTGCCCCTAACACAAAACCATTATCTTGTAGTAAGTTTACCAGTCAAAAAACTGCTCTACAATAGTTCCTGTTCTTAAAAACAAAATTAGCCAGTTGACTACTCCTCAGGCACAATTAGACCAGCTGTGCACGGGGACAGTCAGAGACACATAATGCTCCAGCGAGCTGCTGTCTGGCGCCCTGCACAACACGTTTTACTGCAAGAGGCCCCAGTCTGAGGCATATGCTGGGGCCAAAATCAAACTGTCCGGCACCAACGCCGGCCGCGATTGAGATACCTCACTGGGGATAAAACGTGGAGGCTGTTTCCCAGCGTGCAGCAACACCCGGGCAGTTGAGAGCGCTTCGCCCAGATGAAATTGCAAAGGGAATTTCAGGAGGCAGAATGTAATTATCCCCTTTGGAGTTTGGCATGGACAGGAGGATTAAACAGTGCTGTCCTTTGTCCCCAAAATAAAACGTGCCAGCAGCTCTATGGCAGAGCCAGCCAGGAACATGAGGAAGGAGCCTGGAGTCTTGTTTGTTTTCAGCGTCCCACTTTTCACCTCCATAGATCACCAATTTCCATGTCCTCGGAAAACTGGAACAGTCCTCAAAGTGGCCCCTTTTATATCACGTTACTACCACTTTGAGTGCTTTTTAGAAGAGCCAGATATAAATGCTCAATCATGTCCCTGTGAGCCACTGTCCCTGAGCTCAGTTAAAATGGAGAACTACTTAGAACAGGGGTCTCCAAGCTTTGCCTTGTAGAAAGCTCAACCCTGGGCTTTGGTACAGAACTTTCCAAAGGCCATGTTAGATAGTAACTACCAGTGTAACTAGTCTTAAAAATAGAACTAAGGCAGCTGCAGACTCCAAAGGATGTCACATCTCATTTCCGTAAACTTTACAATAAGGGGCCAGCCAGTGGCGCATGGGTTAAGTTCCCACGTTCGCTTGGGGGCCGGGGAGGGGGGGGGCCAGCATTCCCCCTTCGGATCCCAGGGGCGCACATGGCACCGCTTGGCAAAAGCCATGCTGTGGCAGGCATCCCACATATAAAGTAGAGGAAGATGGGCATGGATGTTAGCTCAGGGCCAGGCTTCCTCAGCAAAGAAAGAGGAGGACTGGCAGTAGTTAGCTCAGGGCTAATCTTCCTCAAAACAAAAAAAACAAAAAAACTTTACAATAATTACTTGTAATTAAGGGTGGTAGGAAATTAACTGCTGGGTGTGGGTCTTGACAGGTTCACCACCAGGTACGTTCACAGAATTATTGAAAGTCAGTTAGCTGTTTGATTTATGCCAAAGTACACCCACAACAGCAGCAAAGCCAGGACAAAGCAGAGGTTGCCTTGGACGTTCACAAGCTATGCTTTCCCTCAGTGTTTACTGAACTCTGCCCTCACTCCCTTGTTCAAGGCATCCTTAACATGACTCTCTTTCCCACTTTCTCCTTCCTATTGACCATTCTGAGAAGGTCATTAACCTAAATGACTTTATCCCCGGATCTGACACTCACTCCTTCTAACATCTTTTGACGCTGATCCAACTAGCACCCCAGTGATAACATGGCCAAGGCCCATGGTCCTGACTCAAGGCCCAACTTGCTGATGAAAGCTAAGAAACAGAATTCTGGAAACCCTGAGCCTAACTCCAACAACACCTGCACCCTGACTTTCAAATCCATCGGTCTCCAAAAGGAAAAAGTCTCCAAGTTTCCCAATCCTGGTTAGTCCTGAGCCACCTGATACTGATATGTTACAGCTGACTGAGTGAACTAGAGGTCAAATCTAGGCTCAGTTCTCTCAGGTGATAACTTTCCTTCAGTGTTTGTTCTAGATAACAAGCATCCTCTTGAGGATGGAACTAGTGAATTTCTCTTTCCCGAGAGCCACACTTCATCGAGTGGCCCAGGTCAGATTTTATGACGTGCAAACTTGGTGGGGAATAAACATCACCTAGAAGTCTGCACATTTCCTACTCATGCAATTTTGTCACCTCCAGTAAAAATGTCCTGGGTCAGTTTCCTACGAAGAATTGAATTGTGATTCTAAGTTAGTCCTGAGTAGGGTCTTTCAGGTCAATATTTTGCTATCCCATTTGGGCTTTTTAAATAAAAAGATTGAATTTTTTTAATCCAAAAAAATGAAATGCTCAAAATAACCAACAGATAGAATGTCTTCTATGTGATGGTCCCAAATCTGTTTGACTCTAAACTCAACACCTCCCCTCGCTGCCTCCCAATTACCTGCCGTGGGAAATCCTTTGGAAAGACACTTGCTTGGTGATGTGCAGGACTTCACTGCTTTCCATAAACAGGAAACAAACAAGGAACCAAAGGTTTTAAGTGACTGGCTAGAGCCACAAAGTGAACGTGAAACAGTGGTGCACACGTCCTCTTCTTCTGTAAGGTCATGGTCAGATGAGCTCTCTGGGGAAGCTGAAGTTAGGCCAGACAGGGTGACCAGAGCATTCGACTCTGATGGAACAAAGAAGCCCCCGGCCCCAGCTCAGCCACTTTATGCCCCTCAGCTTTTCCTTGAAGTCCCCTCTCCACTCTCTCGTTTTCTCTGGAGTCTGTCTCCAGTCAGGTCTGCGCTTCTCAAGTTTCTCATTTCCTGCCTCTTGGGAACATTCTGTGTGGTGCTTATTTCTCTCTGACTCCATAGGACGCTCTCCGAGTGCTGAGTTTCATCACCTATTGTGCTAGGCTGAGAGACCCGTTTAGCAAAACTCCTCTGGCTTATGGACTCTGGAAAGCCTCTGTGGAATCAGCCTACTTTGAATGGGACTTCCATTTCCTGCTCTGGCCAAAGCCAGGTCCCCTTCCCCTTGGCAGCCATAGAAACATTGGTGTTTTTCACCCAAAGTTCACAATGGGTTAAGTTTCTTTTTCACACTTGCTCCAAATGCTTGTCTGATCTCTGAGGAGGACTTGTGATTTGATGACATATAATCTAAGTAAATACACTCAATTCTAATTGATGGGTGAAAAAGAGACTCCAAATTTAAAACAAGCCTTTAAAGAAAGACTAGAGGCTCCTCAGTATCCCCAAGCTTGGCTCGGACTGCCTGTGTTACCCACACTTCTATAGTCCGGCTTCTGCTCCGCCAGATGGACCTCCCATGGAGCAGGCTCATCGGGACATTACTTTAACCGACGGTGAAAACACGCCTTCACTCTTGCTGAACTGATGGGCCCCTGCCAACAGTCCTTTTTGACAATGAATGGGTAGCAACTGACAAACAAGGTTTGAAGATTAAATATCATTCCTTTGAGGCCTGTGTCTGTCCCAGTGTTCTCAGTTTTGATGCAAACTTATAAATTAATTTCTGTCTAATACTTTATTTTATGCACATAGATCATTAGCAACTATTCAGCCCAGAGCCATAAACTACAGGAAAACGTGGGGCACCCGGGAAACCCTAACTTCTAGACTCAACCATGATGCTAACTCCCCGAGGGTCTTTGTGGAAGTGACGTAACAAATCTGGACCTCAGTTTACTGATCTGCACAGAAAGCCTCCAACAGGATGATCGCCTAGGTGCCTACATCCTTAGGAAAATTGAATGGCTCTGTGTCAGCCTCGACATCTGCCACCCCACGCCCAATGCAAAGTTTTGTTGCAGGTGCCACTGCAAAAGGCACGAGCACAGCATGGACAAGAATCCCAGTGAGTCTTCCTAGAGCCACTTCATTTTCTCTCTCCATCATAAGATTGCGATAACCCTTTTGTCACAACACCACCAATGCTAGAAATAGAAGGGAACCCAGATGGCTGCTGCTTAAACAAAAACATCCACATGGAAAAGCCTGCCTTGGAAAAATTAAGGTAAACATCTTTTGGACTTGTTGCTGTTGACAGCATGTTTTCAATTTGCAACGCAAATTCATCGGAAGCCTTTCTGCCAGGGAACCGGATGGCCCTGGGAATTGGGAATTGGTAATGAGTCGTGCAGCCTTTCAGGCCTCGGTTACCATTCTGAACAGAGCCCAGCTAACACTGAATTACCTGATACTGTTGGAAACCTTTGCAACATGAGCCAAACCCCTGGATTCATTCCCTAGCTTAAAACATGAGTTAAAACAGTGTCTGATTGGCATTTATAAGGAGAATTAGGAGAGAAGCGTGCACCGGGACGGAAGTAGACGATGAGAAAATGAGCTAGGGGTTCTGTCTTAAAGTCTGAGGTTTTTCCCCAGGATATTCCAGGGGAAGTTTCCAAGGAATGTCCGGCCTAGAGAAGTGGAATGAATGTACACCTCACATTCTTGAAGTGTCAAAAATTCCAGAGTCTTGGAATTTTCATTTCTTCCAAATCACTCTCCCAGTCCAGAGGGTCAAACTACTTTTGTAGCAATTTTCAAGGTGAAATCGATGTTACTATTTATTATGTGCTCTAAGGGCCCACCTTTTCTTTAGAAAACAACAGAAGTTTACCATTAGAGCTTTACAAACCAACCAAAACAATGAATCTTCTTTTCCAAGAGTTGCCAAAATGAATTCTGACGTTACGATCTGGTCTGCTGCATTTTATTTTCAGAATTTGAAGTCATCCTCGGGGAACCATCTAGCAGAAAAACAGAACTTTTACATCACTAGCTTTCCCTGCCTATTCCAGTTCCATATTTATATCACTACTTTTCCTTTACACTCTTTGGTTTATAGGAGCAATAATTTTCCCTCATATATAGTCCAACGAACAACCAATTAACAAATGCCCAGAGCGGTAAGCATTCTTGGCTGCCTTGCCGAGTCAGTCATTAATTTGGTGAAGGAAGGGCTAACAAACTCATAAAGGGGAACTTGAATTTTAGAAGTTAGTTCAGTTTTACATTATTAAAAAGGAAAATGTAGTAAAAATAATAAGAGCTTTGCCAAAACTCTACAGCAAAGTCAATTAGTCCCGCAAAGAGTCTGGGAGTCTGCGATCTGAACTTGCATTTGGAACCACTTAGCCTATTAAAACAACTCCAAACTTCATCTTTTGCAAATCATATTTCAATGCTCATGGCTGGATCCTAATGAGTAAAATTTTTTCGCCATCCTTGATGTAGCACAGTTTAAAGTATTCCTTGTGTCTGCATATTTCAAATATACACAAGTGACTTCATATACGCATACTCTCATACATATATATGTACACGCCTATCATAAAAATTTCCTACACTAAGTATAGTCTTATACAACATCTAGTAAAATATGTGCTGCGTTATATATTGGTATGCTATATACTTTTAAGATGCCTTTAAAAGAAAATTAATTTCGAACAGGAAAATAGCAACACTGACATTACAAGTCTATGGCAAAAATAAAATGTATTTTATCCAGAAAAGAAATCATTTTTTTCAATTTCCACCATATTTCAAGTATGAGGCGGTGCTGTTTCTTTAATTAAAATGGTAATCAACTCAAGACATGTCATTTCTTTATCAGCATATCACTGTGGGCAATAAATATTTTGTTGTGCTCTGATGAATGAGAAACAGTTGAATTGCTAAGTGAGATTATTTTCATAGACAATTCTTACAAAATAGTGTTTTCTAATCAATTATATGCAGTAAGCGATAGGGTTGGCTTTTTTTTTAAGAAAAATATATGCTATTTTATTAAATTCTAACAAAAATCCTCCAAATTCCTTAAATGAAAATAACGTTGCACATTTTCAGACCCATGGCTCCCATCTCTCGGCCTCTGTACAAATCCCAAGCGACTTCTATAGGTTTTCAAAGGAAGATTCAGCTCTAATTAACTAGAATTCTGTCCATATTTTGTTTTTCTACTACATTGAAAGACTAGCAGGGGGTGACCCTACAGAAGAGAAGATTATTAAAACTTTAATAACCTGAGCCTTTGAACCTTTCCAAATTCTTTACAATTTTCTCACATTTCCAGCCCAGAGGTCTGCATGTAGTTAGAGTGCCAAGGTGAACTTTTTGTTTACAATTTTATTCACCTTATTTATTACCTCCTTTTAAAAAAACAAAAGAACACACAGTAATTTTATAGCTCCTCTACGCAAAGGAATTTAGTTATTCTTAAAAATAAATTTGCAAAATGATTTTTATCCATTTTTAAGTTAAATATTTCCAACCTCACAACTATTTCTTCCCTGCTGCTAGAGGTAAATTGTTAGGCAACCTAGCAACGTGGCGGCTGAATCACAGCGTTCTTTTCAATCAAGCTACAAAGCTTCCAACGACTGAAAAGAGAGTTCCCTCTGGAAACTTGAACTCTCGAGATTGTTACAAAAGAAACCAAACAGGAGGCATCCTTGAACAAAATTAGCTGCTTTCTGTTTCGCCAGAGAGACGGGTATTTGCATACAACAAAAGCCACAGCAGAATGGCCTTTCCTAGAACTCAACATGGCAGTCGTATTATCCCAACTCCACGTACTTACAGCCCCCCAATAGCCAATTATGACTTTTCTTTTAATTAAAAAAACCCCAGTTATCCAGTGAACCCATTGCCACTAAACTGAATGATTTCACTTCACAAACATCGTTGCTCTGTAATCACGTGCTGGCAAATGAAGTGTGAGTAGCTGCGTTGAATGGTACTTCCAGAAAGTTTCCTAAAAGGGAGCCAGTGGATCTTCTTTCGTTCTTCTTTCTGCTGAATAGAATTTTAGTGTGATGGCTGGAACTCGAGCAGCCATCTTAGACCATAAATCCAAGAAACAAAAGCTAAGGAAGACAGAGCACTGAGAGAGCAGGAACCCAGGTCCCTGGTAATCATGGAGTTACCTTCCAGCTATGCAAGACCTACTGCCAGAACTATTTTAAATATGAAAGAGAGATAAACATCTTTATTGTTTAAGCCATTGTTATTTGGGAATGTTTGTTTAATGTGACAAACTTAGTCCTAACTAATAAATCACCTGATTTTTTTTCTTTTTTTAACCCAGTGCGTTTTTTGTTTGTTTGTGTGTTTTTTTTTTTTTGAGGAAGATTAGCCCTGAGCTAACATCTGCTGCCAGTCCTCCTCTTTTTGCTGAGGAAGACTGGCCCTGAGCTAACATACATGCCCATCTTCCTCTACTTTAATGTGGGACACCTACCACAGGATGGCTTGCCAAGCGGTGCCATGTCCGCATCAGGGATGCAAACCAGCAAACCCCAGGCCGCCGAAGCAGAATGTGCGCACTTAACCGCTGCATCACTGAGCCGGCCCCTAAATCACCTGATTTTAAAATCTCTATTTACAGCTATATTCTGCTAGTTGAGAAAGAGAAAAGTGGTCCCTGATATCTAGGAGCTGGCCTCATACTGTCAGCCAGGATTTGGTGTTGCTAGAAGCTGCACTGATATTCACAATTAGGTCTTGGCATTGTCCTGTTGCATATAAGCAATTTCACAAAACATCAACATCAGACAAGGCCACTCTGTGACTATGAAGGATGAAGGCAAGAGTAGGACCACCCCATATCACGTCTGAACACAGACAAAATGTGAACATTGTCCAAGCCACAAAGTTCCAAATCCTCCCCTCCATCCTGTCTAATATGGGTGTCTGGTGTTCTTTACCACTCACAGCTCTCTCATGGCTTTCCTCCTCCTGCCTCCTAGATAACGTTTATTAAGATGCCCAATTATAGTTGGTTCCACTTACTAACAGCATCCAATTCAGAACAAAGCCCCATCTCCTTGAATCCTTTCCTAAATCACCTGACACAAACCAAATCTTAGAATGTCCTTTCTAACATCCCCCTCAGACACGCCACAGTTTTCCATGGTGTATGTTCTTCCTCATTTCAGTGAGTCAACAAACCCCATTTGTTCAGCTTCAGATGTGTTCCTGGAGGTCTTCAGCTAGTAGGCATTGATACAGCTATGCTCGCATCTCCTTACAGCAGAAAACTAAAGTAAACCTACTCCCCATATCAATTTATAATTCAAATGATCCCACCCAAATGAAAAACTCCAATTTTCAAGACTCTAATCATTTAAAAAAGCAAAACATCAATTTGTAAACATCAGAACTCATTGGAATTATCCCCTTATGGTATTGCTGTGGCTTGGAACAGACCCAGTCTGAACCCTCTCCATGTACCAAGTTTGCAATAACTACAGCAAGGTCAGCCCAATGCTCTGTCAACTCAGGAAAGCCTGCAGCATAGAGAGAGAAACGCTGTGCTCTGTCTACTTTTTCTCCCTGTCTTCCTTTTCTTCTTTGTTCTGCCAGCTCCCTCTCCCTCTCTTTTTTGACTTCTTCCCTGCTAAACTTCAAACTTTTCAGTAGTTCCTGAGCTGGGTTCACTCAGAGCTGAAGGTGGCTCTGTCCTGGACTACATCCTTAAGTCACATTTGTCACATCCATCATTCATGGGCAGCTCTTGTTGCTGTCCTTTCTGCCACCCTGCCACTCAGAACTTGTCCCTCCCACACTTCTTTCTGCTCTGTACCTGCCTAAGAATAAGCATTGTTATCTCATCTTCTCAAGCAAAGTCATAATCTCTGTGAAGTGCTCTAAGAGACGAAAGCTAGAGGTAACTTAATTTCTCTTCTAACTTCTCTTTTCCTTCCTCCATCCCCTGATCCACATGCTACGTTAAACTAAACTTCCAGAGACAACACCCTTGTTTTTATTGTCTAAATCAAAGGCATAACTCTCAAGATTGACAAACAGAAGGGAACTATAACTTGCCTGTCATGAGGCAAATATTTTGCAGCAAGTGATGTCTTAAGATGTTTTTCTTCCTCACTCCAAATAAGCATCAGTGCTAAAATTATCACCATTCCATCCAATTCTTAACATTCTTTGAATGTCTGGTCCCACCTAAATGCCCAGGACAAAAATAGGTTTAAAGAAAATTGGTTAAATGATTTAATTAATTAATCCTCTGTGCTAAAAACCAATTCAGTCCATATTAACCAAAGAGAAGAAAAATCAATAGGGTGGGCAAGGAAGACAGTGACATGAACCAAAGGCAAAGGGCCATTGTCTTCTATTTTCTTAGTGGTTTGCAAAGAACCACCTTGCAACTTGAGGCATAAAGAAACAAGCAATAGGTTAGGAGTCTGGTTGCCCAGGTTTTCAGGAGATCTGAAGTCTGTTTGTGTTTTACAGTTTCTGGGTTTTTTTGAATAAACTTATATATGGAAGGCTAACCGATACACAGAAAAGTGCACAATTCCTAAGTTCATACAGCTCAATGAAGTATCACAAAGTGAACACACCTGTGTAAGCGCCATCCAGATCAAGAAATAGAACATTACGAGTGTCAAAGAATAACCAAAGACCGTAATTGAATTCATAATGAGGCTGAATCCACAAGCTTACAGAGCAAGGGAGAGCCACATTAGTCTCTCTCAGTGCATGTGTGAGGGGAAGACACAGGGCACAAAAGAAGTTCCCTCCAAATAACATTGGCTTCTCAAAGACACTTTTCAATTGAGTACAGAATGTGATTGATAAATCTCTCCTATGGATTGGTCACACCACAGTGTGACGTCATTTGGGCGGGCATTACATGACCCCCTGCTCTCAACAGGTTCAAGATGAGTCAAGGCTCAAGTAGACTTGAAGTCCTCCAACAGACAAGCCCTAATGGACACAGACAAGGTGC